CCCTAATACTGTCTACCCATCATTCCATTTTAAGAAAATTAATAGTACATGTACGTGATGTCATCTAGAGCTTCTGGTGACTGATAGTGTACTATAATCATGATAAAATCATACTAGTACCATACTGAAATTGTCCCATGTAAGGTCAACATTCTCGAGGTAGTAATTTACCTAGTATGCCTTTAGTCCCCAAACTTTCACAGAATTACTGTGCAGAAATTCAGTCAATCACCCTTTAAATGTAACTTTACTTATTAAATAAATATTTGTTTGGTCAACACAACTGTAAATAATTCAGACATTTCAACCACTATTTATGAATAAAATTATGTTCCTTCATAAATGTATGCTTTTGATTTAGTTCCTTCCTTTCTTGTACATGACATTGTATGTATATATGGGGTACCTAAAATGATGAAATACCCAACATGAGATTTCTCATGAAGTATACACATTTGCACATTTCCATATGGCATGCTAATATGGTACGCACGTCTTTTTGTCTTTTCCCTTGACAGGAGTTCAACTTTGAAGACATCTTCAAAATCATCAAGACACTGGATCAAGTCGTCGACAGGATCGTAGGAAACATAAAGAAAGCCGTCAACTTTTTCAAAGGCTTGTTCTCAAGTGACTCGGAATTCGCGTTTCCAAAACTAATAAAAAAGTTTACGGAAGTATTCGAAAGTTTGCCCAAAAAGATTGACGGTATCATTGCCATCGGGCAAAAGGCTACGGTTGTACTGGGAGAAATGATCAACCCACAGCCGTGGCTTGTCGCTATCGTGGGGGTCGTACGCAGGATAACGGGATTCATGGGAGACGTCAAAAGAGATGTGACCAAGTTTGTGGACGTGAGTCATCATTCAACACATAACGTGTATATTACTGTACAGTTACAATATTTCCAGGGTTCTAGCTAGGATTTAATTTTAGCCTAGTGCATGGTACTGGCCGCATGTCAAAGGGGCGAAGCGACCGAAAGGGGAGATGGGGCGGAGCTTGAGCTAAAAAAGGGGCCATTTGAGGGATACCCAAAGGGTAGGGTATTTCTAAAGTATGTACAATGTATCCTTGATTAGTAATTTTTCACATTTGATCCGGCAATCTTGAACAAAGAAATACAGTCACAATGCCCCTATGCTGTATTGAAAATTATAGCGTAGGGGGTGAAAATTATAGCGTAGGGGGCCCCTACGATACTTCGCGCTAGCTAGAACCCTGATTTCACAAACATTTAAGCTTTATATTGCATGAAGCACTTTCCTGTTTATTTCTGGCTTATTATTATATCCACAGCTGACTTAAGAATGCAACTCTCAATGATATATCTACTCTACAGAACTGATGGTTTTACCTATCGTTTTTGGCTTTGTAATGTGATCTCTTGAATCAGCGAATATTTTCATAACTTTTTTGTTTTGTTTATTGTTTTGTTCAAGACTGTCCTTTCTGTATTTGATTTGAGTCGAATTATATAGTTATAACTGCTTGGTTTAAATTAAATTCCTTCATTGTCTGATATTTTGCACAATTATTTCAATTTCTATTCTTATTGTTCAGGGCGCGAAATACTGGGTTCATGTGCACCTTAGTGCACCCAAATTTAGAGCAGTGCACCCAATTCTTATTTTGTGGGTGCACCAATGCACCCAAATATTTTCATAGGTTTACGTAACAATGTTAATGTATAGTAGTACTTTTCTTTACTACTGAAACATGTTACTTTTTGCTAACATTCTATAATTATTTTATTTCATATGGTGCACCCCAATTTTTTTTTGTGTGCACCGATGCACATATTCCAAAAAATGATTTTCAAGCCCTGTTAACGTTGTTGTTGCAGGCCATTTTCGAAGCTGTTACAGTGACCCTGCCGTGGGCAGTTGACCAGATAGTGGAGGCAGTTAACATGGTCGTGAACACCCTCGACAACTTCTTCGACAACCCACTCGTAGCTCTCCAAGATGTACAGAAGGCAGTACTCAAGTATGCATTATTACCTTCGCCAAGAAGGTTATGTTTTCAGTAGTGTTTGTCCATCTGTCCGTTTGTGTGCATGTCTGTTTGTTTCTCTGTGAACAGCATAACTCAAAAAGCTTAATATGGATTATCATGAAACTTGGTATGTGGGTAGGTCTTCATGAGACCTGTAGAAATGATTAGATTTTGGGCCCCCTGGCGGCTTTTGTTGGTACTGCAGCAGAACTTCTGGTTTTGATAACTTGTGATCTGGACATGCTAGGGTCACGAATTTTGGTTGGTACATGTATATAGCTCTTGGGGTAGGGAAGAAGTGACATGAGTTTGGCCCCCTAGTTATCTTAATATACATGTATATCAAGCATTTTCTTTGATTATATTAATTTTTTATAATTTATTATCATTACGTAATTCAATCAAAATCTCATTCCATATATTGTCTAGGATTCCTATCAATGGTTTTAGAAAGCAAATCTAAGTACATATTAGTATGTTGCAAATTAATAAATAATGTGCTTACAATCATTGGTCCAATGTTTGTAAAATGTTTGTAAAATGTTTGTAACCATTTCTAAAAGGATTTCATAGTTTTTAACATTTCGAACTTGGTTTTAACTTAAGTTTTGTAAACAGTTTTCCCAAATCATAAAACATAGGAAACATTTTAAAAGTCACTTTCAAAATTTTTGCAAATTATTCCAACATTTTCGAAAACATGCTACTCAGGTACTGACATTTTTTTTACATGTATAATAATTTCAGAATATTTATATATTTTCGTATTATTTGAAACTAATTAGAAAATATTTTAAAACCTACGCAGTGACTTGGAATGGATTCTATACAACGTAATGTATAATATAGCTTGACCTACAAATGATGGATTATGAAGAGTTTATTGATTTTGATATGATACACAGTAACAATGTACCGTTTCCTTTTTCAGGATTCAGAATGGGATATTCAAGGTGCTGGATGCAAAGAACAGAATTCAAAAAACTTGTTTGTTTACAAAAGGTAAATAATCTGTTACCATCATCCTCTCGTGTAATATTTCCTCAAATGAAATTCATTTTAGTGTCAATATTCATATTAAAGGCCACAGCAAGTAATTTTTATGGATGACGTCAGTGTGTGCATTGATTTTTGCCTGAATTTGGAAAAAAAAAGAAATTTTGTTGCCCTCTGACAGTGGTCAACATGCCGAAAATGGAGCAAATACAAAAGGAGCTGCATTATCCTTGTCTTCACTTGTATTACTTTTTGTTTCCTTTTGGACTTTTAAAATTGTCTTCACTTTTTTGCATATCAATCAATAGTTTGCTTATAAACCTGCAATTCTCCTGCAAGCTCTTAGTGTCACTGACAAAAGGTAGTCACTGGATGCTGCCTGAAACGTCTGACCGTTTCCAAAATCATATCCGTTTGCTTGAGTAACTGTTTTTTTGCGTATCTTCTTACCTGGATGTCGTGCCACACTATGTCTATCCTTACAGGCCAGCGACCGTACTGGTTTGACATCAAAACAGTAATCACGGAAATCTGGGACGAAATGAAGGCAGCAAAAGATACTGTGGTTGGCGCAGTTACTAATTTCAAACCAAATCTGAAGGGAAATGCTAATGCATACATGTTCAAGAAATTCACGGGCATAGGACCGGTAAGTAAATTTACATTTAACTCAATCACTATACATTTGTATATTATATTATATCTGATTATTATATACATGTATCAATTTGAAAATATATCTTAGCATGAAAATATATTATTAAGCAGAATGCGTGAAAATCTCACGTTTGTCTACATTCCTATATTGATTATTGTACAGTAATAGGATGACTCTTTTTATTTGCATTTGGCAGATTTCTGACAAATCTGAATTAGCGCTAATTTACAAAAAACATTATCAAATTACACAGATTAAAAACCTTAAGAGAACCATTTCTTTACATTGTTTTCGATTTTATATCATTTACAAATTTGCAATTTCAAAATAGCAGCATTCAAATTATACATTATACATTGTAGATATACATAATATTACATAATTTACAAATTACTGTATTTACCCAAAACTGTAGGTTGACTTTAACCTCCTTGCTTTATCCCAACACAAATTTAAAAAAGCCTGTAATCAAGAAACAGCTGCAGAATGAGGTTATCTCGGCGTTCGGTATCCTGGAACCCCCGCTGAGGGTCATCCAGACTTTGGCAGAACCTTTCCTCACAGCCTACGAAACCGTCGTGGGGAAACTGAGGATGGTCCATTTAGCGTACACCACAGTCAAAAATATGTGAGTTTATCTTTAAGACATAACTTTATTGCGCAACAATTGTACAGTGTACAAAGTATGGCATCTACTAACTTAAGTAAGTACATGTCAACTACATTTTCATAAGGCTAATCTAATACAAAAGTGGGTGGCTAGTATGAGATAGGTATCAACTTATACAATCGTTTAAGGAGTTTCTAATATCCATACAGTCTTTGATATATATCCCTATATATAAGTCATGTAGGGGTTGTCACAAGTCAATATGTATTTAAATTAGGTAATACTATACGTAACCAGATGAAGGTTGTTTTTGTTTTTGCTGTTGGTACTTTGCAACCTTTTGTGCATTTCTCCAATGCACAGGCATCTGTAGCTCATTTTTACTGCAGCGGCTGTAGATGTTTGTCTTTTATGCAGTAAATGATTAACATCATGCAACATTGTGCAATTGTTTCCATCAGGTACACTAAAGCAAGGACGTTGATCAGCAAAATATTTGGACCAAAGATGCACAAGAGTTTCCCGAGAAAACTACTGCAAGCTCAAAACTGTAACGGTTACGGCCCATATCCAAGCACTGGCAATGGAAAATACAAACACCAAGGTGTAGACCTGGAACTTAACAAGACAAGTGTGAGTAGTAATGATCACAAACAGACATGTGACATTTTATCCAGATGGCTTACAACATACTTTCAGGGATTAAGCTTTAAGATTATAGGAAATTGTAAACATATTGCAATTGTTGTTCTCAGTTTGTCGATGACTGTACTTGGCTGTTTTGTTGGTCCATCGAACCTATTAGTTGTTAGTATTATATTGCATTACATAGTACATGCCAAGTGGTGGCAATGTGGGATTGCCATCATGTACCATCCCATAGCAAACCACCATTACTGATATGTTACTGTCAGCAACTGTACTTGGCTGTTTTTGTTGGTCCATAGAACCTATTAGTTGTTAGTATTATATTGCATTACATAGTACATGCCAATTGGTGGCAATGTGGGATTGCCATCATGTAACATCCCATAGCAAACCACCATTACTGATATGTTACTGTCAGGACAGTCTTATTTCAGTAAAAGCAACTTAACTGTCAGGACTGTATTGCAAATGACATACTGATTTACCTTGTGACATGTGAGCACATATTTTGACTCTTTCTACAGATCAACGTTCCCTTTACTGGAAACCTCCGGATCAACGATTCTGCTGCAGGGTTAGTCTCCATTCTCCTGGACGATCCTGATGGTATTGAGCTGATTCTACAGCCCATCACTGTACCCAGTGGTAAAAATGGAATGAAGGTAGTCCATCTTCTTCTTTTTCTTCTTCTGTTTTTTTGTTTTTTTTTGGTCGACTTCAGTAAGTTGAAGGTTCTGACACAGTGGGGAGGGGCTACTTTAGACTTGAGTTACCCTCAAGTCTTGTTACTTGGTGTCCAATAAGTATCAAAATCAGGCTTTCCTAGATCTGTTTTTATGCCTAGTCTATTATTGGCTAGGTAGAAGAACATGTCATTCTTGCTGATGCTTCTGTATTTCGATTACTAGTAATCATTGGTTGTTATTCTACCAACTTGAAAATAATCTCACTGTCAATTGATCTAATCTTGAGAGTTCATCTGTGTTGGTAGAAGTCATTATGAAACAAGATTGAACTGTAACTGCCAACACAAAAAAACTGGAGTTGTACAGTCGAAAATTTGGGTGAGTCCAATTTTTTTTGTTGGCAATTACAGTTCAATCTTGTGTCATAATGTCAATTGATCTTGTTTACCATGGTGTGATGTGTTTCAATACATGTGTAACTTACAATGAAAATATTGATAATCATCTTTTATACCCTGTCCTAATTACACACTCAGGTATTCAAAGGTGAGTCACTGGGAACTGCCCAAGCATCTGGATGTAATCCCAAAAGCATTCACGTGGCCATGAGAAAGGCATTTACAGAGGAATACATTGATCCCATGAAATACCTAGAGAAGAGGAAGCCAGGCTTTCCAAAATTCGACACACAGTGCGATGACTACAGGGTTGTGTTGTTGGTAAGTTTCACGCAGACATCACATAGCATATATGATCATTGTGGATTTTAAGGATGATGATGAATTTTGTAGTAACTCTGGTTATTCTGAAAGCTAGATACCAACTGTTATGTGAGAGATGGCACAATGCAATTAAAGTGTGATATAGAATTTTATGTCATACCCAAACATTACCACACAGGATTCTATTTGGTTATCACTCGGGCTTCAAAACATTTCATACGACAATTCAAATAATGTTTCACCTGTGCCGCTTGCACTGCTTTTAAAAATTCAAATACTAACTTCTGACCTTAGAATTGATCCACATTTTGTGTAGGGAAACAAAATCTTCTCAACTTTTGACGCTTTTGCATTGAAAAAAATTGACCAGAAAGTTGACTTTGAAAAGAAAGCTTTTTAATTTAATTACTGCCATGAAATCATTTTGGGTGCCTTCAAGTGCCCAGTGCCCTG